ACTCTTTCACCTTGTTTCCCTCTGGACAGTGAGGACTGAGAGGTACTGTTTTATTTGCCTGTTTACAGCCTGGCTCCCCACCCACCCACACTCACCCTGCAAGTGTGCCAGGAAGGCAGGGGTGTGGTCATCTCGTTTTCCCTGCTCTGTCTGCCAGGGCCCAGAGAGTATGGGGAAATTGGTGGGTATGCAGGAAGCCAATGAATGGGGGGGAGGGAGGGAGGGAGGGAGGGAGAGAGAGAGAGAGAGAGAGAGAGAGAGAGAGAGAGAGAGATGTGAGNGAAGCCTCTTGTAGTCACTCCGAGCCATGACTGAAGCCATGCCCAATGCGGCCTCCTGTCCAGCCCTGTTGCTTGGCACTGGTATCAGGTGGATGGTTAGAATATCTCCGGAACCTGTGCCGTGGCAGTGGGCGGTGTAGAAGCGTGTGTACTCTGTATGCCAGGGTGAGCTGCGGGTCAGCTGGAGAGGGGGAGGCCGCTTGGCTGCCCCAGGACGACTCGGGTCTGTATCCGGCTCGGGCCAGGCTGCCAGGGCCAGGCCACTGCCCGGGACTTTGTCCCGCTGACTGCCCAGTGGCTGCGGGGCTAGCTGATCTGGAAGGCCAGGGTGAGTCTCTGCAGTCCCAGGATCCAATTGGAGCCGAGGGTGTGGGTTGAATAGACCAACCAGGGCCCTGGACTTTGGTTGCTTCTGCCTTGAAGGAATGTTCTGTGGTCAGTGGGGCCAAGGGTAGAGGAATCTGGTTCCACCAGAGGCCGGAGAGTTGGGGAGCTGTGAGTGCTGCTCTGGTTTCCTACATTCTGCAAGGAAAGTGGGATGTGGTTTCCGGGGTGGGGTGGGGTGAGGTAGGGGTGTCCCTCCCAGGACAGCCTCTGGGGAGTGGCTTGCCCTGTGCTCCAAAGCTATTTTAGCCACTTCCCCAGAGCTGAGTCACACGGCACTTAGCAACACCCCCTCCCAAAGCCACAGCTCCCTTGGCAGATCCCCTTCCGGGGAGAAGGGGGGGCACCTAGGCCTCCTGAACTGGCCCCAGGACTGGCCCGGCCACCTGCTTATATTTGAACTCCACGTTCATCTTGCCCCCAAATCTTTCGGTTAGAGGCTTAGAGTGAAGATGTCACTCTGGGGCCTAAAACAACCATGTGAGTGAGCTCCCACAAGCCCGCAAGCCGGGCCTGTCTAGTATGTCCTCTAACTCTAGGGTCCCAGAGGCCCAACCCCCACCCCCTCTCCGGGACTGTTGGGTCCTGCAGCCCCTCCTCACTGGGCCACGGGACAGGTAGGTGACCATTTAAGCCCCAACTCTCGGAACCTTTTCATGCTGGATGTTGAAGATAGTTTGGTTTTGCGAAATCCACAGAGCCTTGTGCCCACCCCCGGGGCGTGAGACCACAGGCAGCAGAGGGCACTGGCCAGACCTGTCTCTTATCTGCTTGGGGTATGGGGCTGTGCAGGGTCCCGGGGGTCCCGGGGCTGGTCTCGGGATTTCCCTGCTGGCCCCTGTCCCTCCGCTGCATAGCCCTGCCGTGAGGATGTGCCACACGGGGACCCTCCTGGCCTGTGGCCACGTGGCCAGGATATCCTATGCCTGTGGCTGGCCACAGGGGTCTGCATCATGCCCGCTGAGCCCTGGGCAGCTGGGCCTGTGGTTTCCCTTTTTTTCTCTAACAGGCACTTAAGATCAGAAACCACAGGCTGGGAGTTGCTTACGGGGTCTGGGGATTCCAGCCGATACGTGACTTTGGACGTTATGTCACTGTTCCCACAATTCTGACGGTTTCCGTCCCCTCCCCGCCCCTCTCTCCCTCTCTCTTCATCTTTGTCTTCATCTTTGTTTATCTGCTTTATTTTCACCTGTGTTCTCACTTCCGGGCAGCGGTTCTTAACCCAAAGGAGATGGTGCCCCCCAGGGGGACACTTGGCATTTCTGGGCACATGTTGGTCGTCACAACTGGGGAAGCAGTGCTGCTGGCATCTAATGGGTAGAGGCCGGGGATGTTCGCATCGCGCCGCAAGCAGGACAGCCCCCGCCGCAGGGAACGGCCTGGATCTGCTCTGGGGCTGTGCTAGAACTCTCTCCCCGGAGAGCCAGGCTCCTCCTTTCTCTGGGCCCCGCCCCCCCAGAAGTGGGGAGGGCTGCTCGGCTGGTCATGGCCACGGGCTGGTGATGGTGATGCCACCTCCCATCACTTCCCGAAGGCCTGGGATGGAGGAGAGGGCGCTGGATGGGCAGCAGCAGTGAGGGGATGACCCCGAGGCCAGTGCTTTCCATGCGTCTGATTTAGGGGTCGGCACACGACGGCCCGCAGGCCAGATTTGGGGCCCGCCGCTCGTTCTGGTGAGTAGTTTCATTGGGACGCAGCCACACGCATTTGCTCACGTAGAGCCTGTCGCTGCTTCGTGACTGCAAAGGTGGTTTTGTAGCTGCGACAAGGACACTTTTAGCCACAAAGCCGAAATCTTGACTGTCCAGCCTTCTATAGAAAATGTTTGCCAATCCCTGGTCTAGCTGCTCCTGTCCGATTGTTTAGAAGTCAGATCCCAGGGCGTGGGCAGGAGGGGGGGTTCAGGTTAGAGTAGGAGAAGCTACTTTTCCTAGGGCTTGGTGGGAGGAGGGGAGTGAGGAGGGAGAGCCGCCCAACATAGTGGTCACCTCAAGGCCTTTCAGGGCAGTCCTCACCCGGCTCTGAGCCCAGCCCAGGTCACCCATGTGGCAGGGCTACCCTGGTGCCTGGCTCCCACCGTCCGCCCTGGAGAACTTTGCTGGAGTGATAAGCAGTGTGACTGCCTGGGACGGGGGGAATTACTGGTGGGGGAGCCATGAGACTGGTGTCAGCAGCTGGGCCAGGAGGAGAGCGTGGGATGGGGTTAGAGGACACAGAGAGGTCAGGCTGGGTGCCCTGGAGCCGGCTGTAGGCTGAAGTGAAGCCAGCGCTGTCCTTGGCCTTGAGAAGGCGAAAGGGAGAAACTAAGGGAGTGGGGAGGGGAGGAGGGAGGCCTTGGCTGTTCAGCCAGGTATTTGAGACCAGCTGTGCCGGGCACTGCCAGGTGGGATTCAGGGATGAGCAGACCTGTTAGAACCTTTTGGAAACTCCTATTGCAGGAGGAGATCACAGCCCAGCCACCAGGGGTGGGACACTATAACTGTGCCCGCTGGGACAGGGGACATCCAAAGTGCTGGGGGCGGGGAGGTGGCTGGCAGGATTCTACCTGGCTAAGAATGGTCTCCCAGAAGGAGTGGCATCTCTGCTGAGCCCTGAAGGATGCTGGATGAGCCAGGTGACAGAGTATTCCAGTGGGGGACTGCATGTGTCCAGTCCTGGAGCTGCAGAGAGAAGCTCACC